TCAGGCCCTTAAAGACAAAAGTCTTCTATCAGAATTCTGAAGTGAAGTGCCAAATGTTTATAGTAAAAAAAAAAAAAAAAAAAAAAAAAAAAAAAAAAAAAAAAAAAAAAAAGGGTGCTTGGGACTGGAGACAAGGCTCAGCACTTAAGAGCACTTAATGCTCTTCCAGAGGGCCTGACTTCTCTTTCCAGTGTCCACTTCAGGTGGCTCACTACTATCTGTAACTCTGCCTCCAGGACATCTGATACCCTCTTCTGTCTCTATAGGGCACTTGCATATATATATATATATATATATATATATATATAAGCTAAAATCAGCTAAAATCAGTGGCCCACACTCTCAAGGACCTTTTGACCTACACTGGTGCGATCCTCCCGGCCTGCCGCAGCTGAAGGGCTTCACCTTGAATGTGGGTTAAGCCTGCAAGCTTCTGAAGCATCCTCACAAGAGCAGATTCCCTGGTGGAGCCTGAAGCAGCCTTTCCTGCCCAATCACCTGTTACCTGCTTGGTGGGGTGACTGCTTCACTTTTATATTAGCCTAGTACTATTAGGCATGCTTGTGTGAGTAACCCAAGAATATCTGAGAGGCAGATTTTGTGTGGCCAGCCTAATTGCCAAGCACCTTACAGTCCACAGACAGTGCTCTCCACACTGGGGATGGTAGTTCACAGAAGGCTGGCAGGAGAAGTACGAGGCTGAGATCAGCTTGAGCTATCTAGTGACTTCAGTGAGAGCCTGTTTAAAACTACCACAAAACCCCCAAAACAAACAAAAAAAAAAACCCATGCAAATGTAGTTGGAGACTAATAAAAAATTGTTTGGATATATGACCTCCAAATTAATGGTTTTGCTAAAAAGTAGGCAATAAAAAAGCAAATGAAGCAGTATGACTTACATAGGTTTGAGTTGGATGGTTTTTGACCAGCTCTTCTTTCAAAAATCTCCAGATTAACAAGGTTCTTCTAATTTAACTTTTAAATACAAGAGTATAATTTTAACAGTAAAGAAATAATTGAAACTCAGGTTGTGAAAACCATCTTCACAGTGGCACCTGCAAGCTTCATGGCCCTGGCTCTCTGGGCACCTGTCTTCCAGGTGCTAGTTTACTGTATTGAGCTGGGAAGTGCAAATGTCCTCTGAGCCACTGAACAAGAGGCTGATAAATTATATATATATATATATATATATATATATATATATATATATATATATATATATATATATATATATATTTAAAAGAAAACAGCACCACTATTGAGCTCTTGAGAAGACCATTTTTCAGTTTTGGTTTTCTTTTTTATCAGTTTTTTATCTCCTAGTACTTTGCTAGCTGTTTCTGACTGTTACAGTTCAAAAGGTAAATGATATACTAAACTCTGTCGTGACTTTAAACACAATTTTTCTTTTAGTCCCTTCCAGCTATGGCTGGATGTCTCACTATAGTTCTGCAAGTTGATTCTTGAGTGCTTTCTGCCTGCTTCTCCATCTCTTCCCATGCCTGACTCCCACTAAGTTTGCTGTTTGCTTTTTAAAGGCACTGAAGATACATTGCATACTCTCTGCCACCCAGCCCTCTGACTCTTTCATTTTGTTCGTTTTTGCTTTTAGTACACTACTTTAAAATTTATTCTTTGAGAATGTCATAGATTATACAATGTATTTTGATCATATCCCCTCCAACTCCTGCTAGACACCTCCACCCATTTCCTTCCCAACTTTATTTTCTTCTCTTTCTCTTTCTCCTTTCTTCTTCCCACCCTCCCTCCTTCCCTCCCTCTCTCTTCCTCCTCCTTCTCCTCCCCCCTCTATAACCTACTGAGTCCAATTAGTATTATCCGTATATAGCTGGATATAGGGTTGCCCTTTGGCTCATAGGCAGTTTGCCAGGTGCAGCACCCCGATTCCACCTCCCCCAACAGCCATCAACTGCCAGGTGCAGCACCCCGACTCTACCTCCCCCACCAGCCATCAACTGCCAGGAGTTCCTCCTAAAGCTCTTCTCTTATCCATTCTGCGGTGTTGACTGGCTGCGGGCCACCTGCAGGCAATAATCTGTTGAGTTCGTAGATGCAATGGCCCTATTGTGTCCCGAAGACACAGGGTGGCAGCAATCTTCTGGAACCCCTGGCTCTTAACATTCTTTCTTCTCCCAGAGAGTGGATTAATACTCCTCCCAGAAACCATAAGTTATCAAAGAAAAAGCTAGTGCTAGCTATGGAATACCTTCCTTGGAGTTGTTCACCAGGGAACTCCCAGAGTCTCTAAAATAATACAGGCTCTTGCCATTGCTCCTGGCTGCCCACCAGAACTCAATTGAAAGAGCCTGTGGCTGAAGTCACCACACGCTTTAGCCTCACAACTTGAAGAAATCAAACTACTCCTGGTTTGGAAGCTTTCTCTGTGCTGGGTAGCTTTCATAGGGCAGAAGGCTCTAGGCAGGCGCTGCGAGATCCCACTTGGTTTTCTTCATGTTCTCCTTTCAGCATTGTACCTGGACTGCTTATAGAATGTTTTGGTTTTGACTAAGTTCATTTTGATGTCTCTGTTTCTATCTGTCTGTCTCTCTGTGTGTGCCTAGATGCATGCGTGTGTGTGTGTGTTGCAAATGATTGAAACTTGGATCCTATGTGTGGTAGGCAAGCACTTACAACCTTGCCTTTTGCTCTTCTCCATTCTCTCACAGTGGCCTTGCCCTCATTCATCCATTATCCCTGGCTCTACTAACATGTAAAGGCTCTGGTACAAAGGCCTGGAGACTCAGGCTCTGAAAACCCCTGTGGAAAAGTAAGAAGCCCAGGACACTGAAACGCAGGAGACTGATCAGTCACTGATACCTCCTGGTCTTTTTTTTTTTTTTTTCCTTTTCTTGCACCATCCAGGGTCCACAGCGCTGAGGCTCTCTACCAAAGATAAGCACAGTTAGTTCCTCATTAAATGAGGAAGAGAAGAGAGGAAAGAGGAGAAAATATAGAAGACCTGTGAGGGATGGCAAACAGTAGCCTTTATATTCTTCATCAGGCTCTACAGACTGGTTTGCCAGGCTTTATCAAAAGTTGTCAGCACAGGGAGCTGGGGTGGGAGGTGGGGAGGTCAATGACAGAGTGAATATGGGCTTAGCACATGGAAGCTCTCGGTCCAGTCTCAGAAGGTAAAGGGGGGAGATTCCAAGCACCTGCCCATTCATGCCCCTCAGGAATTACCTACAGAGAGGGAAGAAAGGGCACAGTAGACACCTTAACCCCAGGCCTCCGTCACATTAACACCAGCACTACTTAGCCACTGGAGTAATTCACCAACTGTGTACTTGTATCACTTCCTGTTAAAAATGGCTCCTTTTGACTGTCACCACGTCTTTGATAACAAGCCCACTAGAATACACACTATAAATAATGATAGATGTGCCTTAACAGCCTCATGTTGAGGGATCTTTTCTCTGCATTATTAACCTACAGGATCTAGAAACATTTCCTTAAAGTGATTTACTAAATCAGAACAAATCCTTCTAGTGTAGCGGAGGCACCTGCCCTGCTGTGACATGACCACTGCGCACCGTGAAGCAGCGTTGCTGTGGAGACCTATAGACTTGACAAGGATGCAAGCAGACAGCCAGAACAAGGCTAGGAGGCTCGCCTGCAGCTTCTGCTGTCTTCAGACGTAACGGTGCCCCCGCTGCATGTAACATAATTGAAAACGTTAAGACGGTAAGAATCAACCCACACAAAAGAGTAAGGAAGATTTCTGTTTCTATCAGAGGAAGTTCCGCCCTCCTCCCCTACCCCCAGCAACTTACAGAGTGATCGATCACAGAATGTTAGTCTTTTTAGGAAAGGGGAAATTAGAGTTCCACATAGAATTTTAATAGACCTAAATGCATCCTGTATATACACAGTATATTTTGCAAAGAACACGCTGGAAGGATAAACTGGAATAAACTGGAGTGGACTGGAGAAGTCTCTGGTGGGGGGGGGGGGAACTAAGAGCATGTGCTGCTGCTCTTCCTGAAGCTCAGGGTCCACTTCTTAGCTCACAGCTTCTGTAACTCCAGTTTCAGGGGACCCCATGCTCACTGAGTTCGTGTATGCAAACTCACACTCAGATACACGATAAGCACACAATTAACTACAAACAAAGCTGGAGCAGAACAAATGAAGGACGGGCTGTGGCGGATAGTAAGATACTCTGAGAATTCCTTAGTTCCACTACTTCAAATGTAAAATTTTACAGCTGGGTGGCTCCCTGGTTCTCTACTGACATATACTATGCCGAGGGGCCCCGGGCCTCTGGTTGACATTCTGTAAATCAGAAGAGCCTCCACAGGAAACATCCAGTGTAAATGTCAACAGGGTCATTGTTGGGAACCCCAGGTTTAGGCCAAGGGTGAAAGGAGACCGCAAAGAATCTGTTTCCGGAGTTGACCTGTCCTTACAGGTTTAAAACCCAATCAACAGTCTCCCCACCCGGCAGACAGGGTTTCCAATCTTATTTATATAAAATCTCAGCACCTCGGGGTCCGACCTTTCCATTCTGGAGTAGTGGAGTCTTGGGACACAGGCACTGACCAACTGTCTGTATTTTTGTGTGCCTCCTGAACAAGCGCTCTACCGCCAGCCCCAGTAGTTAAAAGTCTTTTTTTTTTTTTTTTCCTCCCTCACTTTAAACATCTGTTCTGTTGAGTGGCACTTATGTCCATCCGGTAAGTGCTGGCAAACTGCCGGTGTCCCTTAGGGCTGTCCTTCAGTCCATAAAGGCTCAGTAAGCAGTCTGGAGGAAACCACCCAGACTCCAGCCTGCATAACACCCCTGCACTACTAGAGCTTGGGTGTAGCCAGAGCATCCAGAAAGTACCAGGAAGATAAGCTGCGGTAGTGTGGCCAGGAGCCAGCGGAGGAGCTAGGCTATAGGGGTGCAGGCGCTCACCTGGCCCTGCCCTTTGCCCTTTCTTAGCCTGAGGAGGCCCGCTCCCTGGCCTCCAGGCTCCGCCCGCCTCCCCGCCCATCAGCTATTTGAGGGCCCGGGCGCGGCCCGTACCTCCTCCTCCTCTCTCCGTTCTGCTCGCAACCGGCCAGGAAACCGAGAGTCTGGGGTACGCTCTGCTGTAGGCTAACTGTGGCCCGGGCGCTGGGGACGCGGGCGGGTGTGGCGCGGGGCGAGAGCCCAGAGGGCCTGGCTCGGGTTCCCTCTGCAGCGCAGCGGCCTCAGCCGGCTGTGACGCCGCCGGGTGAGTCGCCTTGTGATCCCGGCCTGCTGGTGGCATCGCCGCCCTCCCAGATCCACCAGCGTCCTTGGAGGAGGAGGCTGGCGAGGGATGGGGGCGACGCGGAGCCGGCCCGGCTGCTGCGCGGGGGTCCGGGGCTACAGGTGACCACGCATGTCCCCTCGGTCACGAGTGATCCTGGAGACCCACGGCTGGTGACGCACTGCTACAGGGCGTTGGGATCTGAGAGGGGAAAGGGAACAGAGAGAGGCCAAGGGCTGGGTGTTCAGGCCCAGGCTGTGCTGGGGAGTTCTGAGAAATCCTCAGTACCCTGGAGGCCCACGAACCTTGATACTTTTGAGAAACAATTCCAGATCTTTGATTTTTTTTTTTTTTTTCCTATTAAACTCGCGCCAGAAAAAAAAAAATGTTGTGAGATTTAATGTCTGTCAGGCTAGGAGGAAGGACACAGGCAAAGTTTTGACAGGGTTTCTGTTCCAAATGAAATTGGCTTGTAAGCGAGTGTTTTCCTCCCATCTTGTTTTGATGGACCCAGAGCCTTGTTCTGCTGAGCAAGTACTCTGCCACTGTGCCATAGGCGTGGTCTTCCTCTTTTCCTTCCCTTAGGTCTGTTTTGAGAATCAGAAGCGTGGACAGCTAGCATTTACGTGGTGTTAGCCACACTGGTTGTGAGGGAAAGCTGAGTGAGGTTTGGCACTTTTTTTTTAATTTTTTTTTTTTTTTTTTTTTTTTTTTTGCCTGCTTGGGAGGCAATTGCCTGTGATAGAGCTCTTCCGGAGGCTGCCCATTTCCTTCCTCCAGTGGTTTGGGACTTGGGTGTGGGATCTGATGTATCAAGTAACCTTGGGTAAATGTATGTGATCAGGGACCATAATGTTGGGGCCATGAAATGACTGTTATCAGTACGCATGGGGAGTGTCCCGGTGTTTCATGGCTGCCCTGAGTAATTGTATCCCCCTACGACTTGTGCCATCATGCAGAGAGGGTGTGTTTGGGTCACTCTTGCCTCCATACACCAAGTTTATTTGGCTCCCCATACCTGCATGTCCCCCCATCCCATCCCATACATGTATTTCACCTTTAGTCAACATGAAACAGCAGGTAGAAACCAAAATCTGATAGAAAACATTGCAGGAGAACTGAGATGTGTTTCTGCACACCTGCAATCCCAGCACTCAGGAGGCTGAGGCAGGGGAATGGGAGTTTGAGGCCAGCCTGGGCTGTATACATACATACATACATACATACATACATACATACATACATACACACACGTATACATATACTTTTTTCCTGTCCTTGTTTTCTAAACAGTATGGTAACAGGGACCATTTAGCTAACATTTACATTATGGTGTGTATTTACTCATGTCCAGACCATTCAAAATATGCAGTGGCATGTACATTTGCTAGGTCAAATATTAAGTTATTTTACCTAAGTAAATTGAGCACTTGAGGATTTTGGCATCTTCAGATACCAGCTGATATCCTTCAGATATCCAAGAATGACTGTTAAAATTCTATTATTTCCAGCCCAAAGCATCTTTAGATTAGTTTAGTGAGTTACAACTAATTCAGGCCAATAGCAGTAGATTTGCATTAGAGTAATCAACAGCTGTGGCCCCACATCCTAGTATCTGGCAAAAAGAGCCTGGAAGCATATCCTTTAGGATCATATGGAACGCCAACCCTCTGTTTCCAAGCTTATTGGACCTGGGGTTAAGCCATACAGTTAGTCTTTGCAGACCTTTCAGAAGTGTGCTGGGCTACAGTGCTGGCAAAAGGGAACAGATATTTGACCTATTGCTTAGCTGCCATTCTCAGCTAGCCACCTCTGTAGCCACTGGCCTCAAAGTGCCATACAAATGCCATTCTTTGTGTGTTCTTGGATTTGGAGAAGGTTGGTGATGATTTTCTAATTGACAGATCTGGAATCACTTAAGAGACAGTACTCAGGAACACCGAGAGTTACTGTCTTGATTAGGTGAGTGTCTTGGCTGGGCTTTTGAGGGACTGTCCTGAGTAGATTAATTGAGCTTTGAAGACCTAAAAGTGGACAGCACTATTCTCTGGGCTGCATAAAAAGTAGTCAGCTAGCTGAGCACAAGTATTCATCTCACCCAGAACTCTGGAACTGTAAGGAGCTATGAGCCAAAGTGAACTCTCAATGAAGTTGCTTTTCTCGGGGTATTTTATCACAGCAACAGACATTCGGGAAGTCCTGGATGAGGTCAGCCCAAATGTTTTAGCATCTGACAAATAGGTAATGCAGAAAGAGAGAGCACAGAGTCAGTTTATCAGAAATGAGCAGCACTTTCATAACTGTTTCCAGAGTGAAAAGGACAATCTCTTGAATTGCTAGTTTGAAAGGTCTCCTAAGAGCCCAGCAAAATGCATGAGTAGGGTGTTTCTGAATATCAGAAATAAGAATAAGAGTCCATAAGCTTTCAGAGTAGGGGTTGGAGAGGGGCAGAGGGATCTGGAGTCATTATGTCATCAGACCTTCCAACAGCAAAACTGGTAGCCAAGAAGCGGTGAAGCTAGAGTTAAAAGAAACAGATGTAAAATTACATGTAACCTTTTATAGACCCTGCCAAACCCAATGACATGGAATAATACATTTTCAGAGGTTCAAAAAATGAGAATAACTGTATTCTTTCTTAGAAAGTGGTTGGTCAGTGTGCTGCATCAAAATAAAGGAATAAATGACAAAACAAGAATATATTTGGGCTCAGAACAGATGATATAGGAAAAGAAGTATGAGCTTTATATAGTATTCATAGAGCAAGGGTCCAGGAGTCCTGTCACTAATATGGCCAGTAAACACTAGTTGGTATAAAACATCCATGCAACAAAAGAGTAATATGATTGAGATATGAATGCCTCCGAGTGCTAGTGGGTCTCAGAAGAGTCAAGACCATAAGAATTTGTAATGGTGATCTATTTTAAACCATGGTACATGAGAGCCTTAAAGGAGCCATCTATCCCATCTCGTCAATTGGTGTGCCCAACCATAGCGGGGGATTCTCTCTCTCTCTCTCTCTCTTTCTCTCTGTCTGTAGGTGTAGACACATGTCTTGGCTTGCACATGGAACTCAGAGACCAACCTCAGGTGTGGGTCCATGCCGTTCATTTTGTTGGAATAGGGTCTCATACTTTGCCACAACATTTGCTAGGCTTCTGACGTATGATCTTGCAGATATTCTCCTGTCTCCACCTCCCATCTCACAGGATTGGAGTTGTAGATGGGTGCCACCTTGTCTGGCCTCACACGGGTGCTGGAGCATCAAACTCAAGTCCTTAAGCTTGCATGGCAGACACTATCCTTTGAGCCATTTCCCTAGTCCAACATCTGTATTTTAAATCAGCACCAATACTCAGTCTGTTCTTCAGACATTCAGAATTAGTTCTTTACAAATCCTCTCCTGAAAGAAAGCAAGAGGGGAGCCGTACCTTGGCCTTGGTCTGGAAGGGTCAGCATAGTATCCTCTTGTTGCTGTGAAGCCAGGATATTTGAAACCAACAGCTTGGGCAAAGTAACCAGTATAAAGAGATTCTCACTAGCCATATAAACACAGTTTTGTGCACCAAGAAGAAAAAATACCAGGTAACTGGAAATATTTATTAAAAGGCTCGTGTCCCTGAGTAAATTCAAATGAGGCAAACAAGATGACTTAAAGGCACGAAAGAATTCAGCAGTATTTACACTTCTAGGAATGTTAAAGCTGTGCCATGTATTCTGTTCTTATCACTACAACCTTTCCCTTTCTTGTAGCCTGTTACTTCCCCTTTCCATGTTGCCGTGAGTTCCCAGCCTACCTGGGGAAGTCTTAGAACTGCTGTACTGTCTAACTTCGGAAAAGGAATTTGACAGATGCTAGTGGATGATGTGAGAGCTAACAGGCTCTGCTCCTACGGTTGCTTGCTTCCAGCCTGTACGACTGCATGTGTGGACCTTCTGGCTGGTGGGTCCTTAGCTGCCTCTTGGTCTCTGAGCCAGCTTTTTCTGGTTCCCTGTGTATTGGTTTCTGCACATGAGAAAGTCGAGGCACTGGCCCAGGTTAGCCCCAGCGGGGTTGTATCACTTCCTGGCTGTGACCTTTGCTTTCCAGGATTCCTTTCCCCTTTTGTTGACTGAGCCACAACATCGTAATGCGAATGAGAGTGAAGATATGGTCTACACATCAGCCTGAATTTATGTGTTATTATTTTCTCATTCTAGGCTCACCATCATGGATCCTCTCCAGGAAGCAAATGGCACCTTTGCCTTAAACCTTTTGAGAATACTGGGTGAAGACATCTCCAAAAATGTATTTTTCTCTCCCTTTAGCATCTCCTCAGCCCTGGCCATGGTCTTCATGGGGGCAAAGGGAAACACTGCAAGTCAGATGATTCAGGTAACCAGCGCCATTTCACAGCAGCTGAATACCATAGATTGTTCGTTGAGCTGGTCCTCCACATTCTCCATCTCAAAAACAAAGAAACAAAACAACAACAATAAACACACACACCATTTTGAGGAATAAGTGGCAATGAAATGACAAAGGGGTATGGCTGGAGAGTTGAGGGGAAAGATGCATTATGTCTGCTAATATCTGCTCACAGTGTGTATGTGAGGGTTAGCAAACACCGAAGGGGTGGGGCCAGGGCGCCTGTGATCCCTATATTCTTCTCTAGCCCTAACGAATCTCAGCTTTCTCACAGGTAGGGAACACTAGACTGGTCTTGTGCCAGGACCTTTAAGGTTCCTCTGAAAGGAGGTCAGCGTTGGCTAGGAGACCAGGGGCAGATTCACTGGGCTCTTCTTGGATGTATTGCTTTAGCTACGGAGGTGCATGAACTGCAGCAACAGGCATAAGATGGGGAGGCTACCTTGGGCTAGGACTCTGCATTCTGGGTTATTTCTTGGCAGCACCCTTCCATTTTTATAAGACGCACCGTGTTTGTTGTTTTCTCAGCCTGCCTCCTGCCTGACGAGAGTTAGGTCCTATAGGTCTGCCTTCAAGTTAAACTGCCACTCTTTTACTTCCAGGCTATCCTATCTACGGATAGGCAGTTCATCTGTTTCCCACGGGAGCAGCTGAAGCCTTTCATGTAGCTCTTCAGCAGGCTTGGAAAGTCTAAGGGGCGGATCTAAGGTCTGGTGCCTAGGTGTTCGCTGTTGGCTGGGGTCTTGCTGCTCTTCCAAGCAGCTTTATGTGGTTGCAGTCACTCCAGGATCTTCCACGTGACCTGCTGCAGGATGGCTTGGATTTCCTTCCACCATGATGGCACAAGAGTACAGATGTGGCAGCCGCCAAGGCCTAGAACAGGGTCACTCTTCTCAGTCCTGGTGTTCAGACAGTGCAGGAACCAGCCCAGACCCAGGGGCAGGGAGGAGAATGTGTGACTTGAGGTCAGAAGCCAGGCACTTGAATAGCAGCAGGTCTGCTTGGCAGCCACGCTTGAAGCCAGAGCACAGTTCGTGACCGTGAAGAGCTGGGTGTGTGAAGTGCCTTTTCTGCTCAGACCAGGGCTGACAGGGCACAGGGGAGGACCCTGGAGGGGGAACATTCAAGGAACTTTCTTCTTTAATCCTGTGGTTCTTTGAGGGGCAGCAGGGATCTGTAAAATTCTGAGGATGAGTTTAGTGTTGACTCATTTCCTGTAGCTGGGCCTGCTGAGGTTGTGCTTTCAATCTGTGTTGCTCTTAGGCACTTTCTTTGGATAAATGCTGTGGCAAAGCAGAAGGGGACATCCACCCAGGCTTCCGGTCACTCCTCACTGAGGTCAACAAGACTGGCACGCAGTACTTGCTCAGATCAGCCAACAGGCTCTTCGGGGAAAAGACTTGTGATTTCCTGGCCGTAAGTGTTGTGTCCTACTCAGAGACATTAAGCTGAGGATTAGCCCCACTTCCTTGCCCACTAATGCAGTTTTGTATTTGTCTAGATGATTTGAAACCATGTGTGAGTATCTTCTTATTGTACAGAATGTTTAAGCAAGAGCCATCCTCTAACTCTGTCCCTTCCACAAATAAGAGCTTTTCATATACAGTGATGTATGCTCATGTACATATAGAAATTCAATTGGTAACAGTTTTTCCTGTGTGATACTATTACATATATTGTTTTTAATGTGTTTCTCTTATTTTTTTAATATACCCTGCCTCATTATTATTACTGCTACTTGTTGTTGGTGTGAGAGATGGAACCCAGTGTCTCACACATTTAAGCCCTGGGCCCGCACTGTAAATACCGTTCAGTTTTATTAGCCATCATACGAAAGTCTTGAGTATAGATATTTGGTGACATAGGAAACCACTTTTCTGTAGGCATAACCAGCTTGTATACAGTGCAGGCCATTAGCAACAGAGTTCTTGAATGTGGATTTATGCCCATGTGCATGAATGGCTGTCAGATACACATGTAAAAAGAAGGAGGAGCCTTAAGATTGTAAGATGTTAACGCTTCATTGTTCTCCCAAATGGCCAAAGGTATCAGCAGAGTTCATTTCTGTCCCTGTTGTGGGCTATGCACAATTTTACTGTTTTAAATTTTGGTCTTGAGATTGGAAACATTTTTCTTTTTTTGAGCATGCTCAAAGTGAATATTTCTAAATACAAAAAAAAAAAATAAATAAAAAAATAAATAACCTGAGATCTGAAAACTTCTGAATCTAAATTACCTCTGATCCTGAGCATATATGGTAATTTCGCTCAGCTTATATACGAGTAGTCCATTCATATATTCTGTGGACATTTTTTGTGTTGTGTGTGTTATATTCCTTTTTGCTAATTATAAGAGATTTCCTTTTTGCAATGTTTGAGGTCAGTCTTACCTTTTTATTGTAATTTTGTAACCTATTTCAGATCTACCCTGCTTTAAAATATGTGATATAAAGTGGGTGCAGCGGAGCATCAGGTCAGATAGTTCTATGCAATAGCAGTAAGTTCTATGCAATAGTACATTTATTGATCCATCGATCGATTGATTGATTGCTCTGTGTCAGTCCTTTAAAGATTCCTGCCGCAAGTTCTACGAAGCAGAGTTGGAAGAGCTGGACTTTAAGAGCGACACAGAGCAGTCCCGACAGCATATCAACACTTGGGTAGCCAAAAAGACCGAAGGTGAACACGGGGCGACGGTAGTTTGTTTTTAGTGCTGAGACTGAATCCAGGGGCCTGAGCATGCTGTGTGGGGTCTCCTGTGCCACTGAGCCACACCCCAGGCCCTGTTGCAGTTAGCCTATATTTTTTAAATGGTACATTTATTTACTTGTTTGTTTATTATGTGTTTGTGTATGTCTCTGCACACCTGCAGTCAGGATAACTGACAGGAGTTGGCTTTCTCTTTGTACCCCTGGTTGCTAGGTTTTCTACTTAGTTCTTTAGGTTTGGCAGTGAAGGCCTTTATGTGCCAGGCCATCTCTTGTCTCTAGACTTTTTATTTTAATTAAATTAAATTAATTTATTTTTGAGATAGGGTCTCATTGCGTAGGCTTGGCTGTCCTGGAACACCCTGTGTAGACGAGGCTGGCCTGGACCTCTGGGATCTACCTGTCTCTGCCTCCTGAGTGCTGGGATTAAAGGCGTGTGCCACCACAACCAGCTCCTGAGTCAGAACTCTTAAACTTTGCCCATCACAACTCCTTTTTACCCGAGAAATTTTTATGTGACCTTGCACAGAGTACAAACAGGTATACATTTATCTTTAAAAGAATCTTTATGTGTATACCTGCATAAATTTATGTGTACCCTGTGCCTTCAAGGACTTGCAGAAGCCAGAGAGTGACAGATCCCCTGGAACTGAAATTACAGGCAGTTGTGAGCCATGTAATATGGGTGCTCTATGAACTTTTAACCATGTAGTCATCTCATTATCTCCCCAGAGATGTAATAATTTGATGCTTACGTGCTGGGAATGAAAGTATGAGGATATTGTAAATCTGTTTTTCACAACGAAGCTATTCTGTCTATAAGAGCAGAAAAACTTTGTGTGTAGATCACAAATGCTGCATTCCTAATATGACAATTTTGAGTATGAGCTGAGATGTTTCACACAGTGTTTGTTGGCATTGCATTTTTTTGGCACAGCACAATTGCATGCACAGTACAAAATGCTCATGTGTGTTCAGGACCAAGGGCACAGTGGAGTGGTGTGAAGCAAGATGGGTGTCACAGCCATAATGAACCTTGGGTTCATCATGCATTTGAATTTGAATGAAGTTTTGGTTATTGCATGTTCAGAAAGCTTTGAGTGTTGGCAGTTTTTCCCACTAGCCCCACACTCAGGCAGTGAGATCCCAACCTGCAGCTGAGGCTTTGCTCTACATAGATACAAACTTTACAAAGCTGTCTCTAAAGTATTGTCAGAGTCTGATACTTTGCCTAACTTTCTCCTGTTCTTTTTTTATCTTTAATTTTTAAACACAGTGGCTCACTAGGTATCCTTGGTTGACCTATGACCTGTTATATAGACCTTTGGCTTCAAACTCACAGAGATAGGCTTGTCTTTGGCTCTGGGATTAAATGATCTGTCACCACATCTGGCTTTTCCCACCGTTTAACAGTGTGTCTGGGATGTCTCCCAATATTTGATACACCTATTTGAGAACTCATCAACCTGCTGTGTCTCCCATCCTTGATCCCTCTCTCCCTCCATCCTTTCGTCCTCCTACTCTCCCTCCTTCCCTTTTTTTCTTATTTTTCTTCCCTTATTTTTCTGGTGCTTTTTAAGGGTTTTTACAAAGAGTGCAGAAGGCTTTCACTCCAGATCTTCAGCTCTTCCCTGGCTGTGTGCAATGCTCCCACTGTGTAGTTATGTAACATGGCTGCAGATGCTGGGCCCAGCCCCCATTTACCTATGGCTGTAGACTGCTTTATACATGTAAGGTTCATTTTATAATTGCTGTTCTACTTTGAATTTATTTTTAAGGTGATACATAAATACACATATTGGCAAAGTTCTGTGTAATTTTCAATGATACCTATATATGTGTATGTATGTGTGTATATATATATATATATATATATATAATTTCAAATATTTTTAAATTTAAATTTACTACCAGTCTATTTTAAAACAACCTAATGTTCCTTTCTTAAAGTTGTATGCACCAATTACTTCCTTCCAGCTCAAGTGTTGCATTTAAATTTCAACTGTGTGTTTAGTATGGATTCAGACATTTTATGTGTTTATTTGGACAATGAAGTTTTTCTTACCAGAACCCCTTTTCCGCTTATTTTTCTTCTCTCTAAAGCTTTCAAACGGTTTGGCTTCGATGCTGGCGAGATGGCACAGCATTTAAGGGCAAACACAAACTGCTGTCTCAAAGGAAAAAAAAAAAAGAAAGAAAAAGAGTTGCCTTGGTCATGGTGTCTCTTCCCAGCAGTAGAACAGTGACAAAGACGAGACCCAATTAGCTAACAGAGTTGACTGATATATGCCAAGGGCTCACCTCCTGCTCACCACGTTGGCTGTTCTGGACTCATTTTGTAGACCACACTGGCACTAACAGAGATCCACCTTCCTCTGCCTCCCGGAATGTTTGGATTAAACGGATGTACCACCACTCCCTTCTCCAAGGCCACTCTTATTTAAAAAAAGCATCAAATTGGGGGCTTGCTTACAGTTTTAGAAGGGTTAGTCCATGATCATCATGGTAGGAAGCAGACAAGCATGGTGCTGTAGCTGTAGCTTTACATCGTGATCCACAGGCAGACGGCAGAGAGAGAGGACCTGCTATCTCAAAGACCATTCCCAACAACACACCTCCTCCAACAAGGCCATACTTAGGAATCCTTCCCAAACAGTTCAACTGAGGACTAAGCATGCAAATATATGAGCCTATGGGGGCCACTCTTATCTAAACCAACACAATTCTTTAATTCTTTTTTTTTTTAATTCCTTTCAGATAAAATCAAAGAGTTGCTGTCTGCGGGTACAGTGAATTCAGACACTCTGCTGGTCCTTGTGAATGCCATCTACTTCAAAGGAAACTGGGAGGAACAGTTTGACAAAGAGGACACCAGGGAGATGCCTTTCAAAGTCAGCAAGGTAAACAGCACAGCCACAAGGAGACTCCTGTTGAGTCCCCTGTTCGCATTGGCTTCTGAAACACTATGAGGCTCCTCCTATAGCCTGTGCCTCTCCTGACCCTGGGCAGCTCAGCAGCCTGGACTCTCTCTCTCAGCCCTGAAGCCTTTCTCTTCCCTTTTTCTCTTGCATGTTGCCAAGGGTGGCTGAAGGCTACATGGTTTCAGGCCTAGCCCTGCGTCTGTCATGGGTTATGCTGTCACTGGCAGCTGTTGAGGCCAAACCTGATGGCAGATCTCTGCAGTGTACTCTGAACAGTCTTTTATAGAACGTTCTAAACTCCAGATGTGGTGTCTGAGGCTCCTTGTGCCCTGAATGCAGCCCGTTCCTCCTGGTTCCCTTCAGTACTGCACATGCCTTTCTCTTCAGTGTGTCTCCCTAGCAGCGTTGACTTGTGTCTTCCTCTCCTTCCAGAGGACCACAGCTCCTGCTGGTTGCCACAAACAATTCAGTGGGAAAATCTTTCTCACCTTGCTTGAAAAACAGCTGAGGGCAGACAGCTGTGTAATGAGTGCCTGGCTTATGGCACTCATTCAGTAAACACTGAACCGGTGCATGAAATTTCAATGTTAGTTTAATGGGATAAACAGAGATTTTTGCTTACACCCAAGCAAACAAAGGATGTCTATGTGGGATAGACTCCATGTTCAACCTCTTCCAAGTTGGGGCATGTTAATTCCTGATGGCCCACAGGTGTTTTTGTTTGTTTTGTTTTTAACCATATCTAGTTCTCCTAGTTCTCTTTCTCTTTCTCTCTCTCTTTCTTGCTTGGTGCATATACGCTTAGGCTGACAAAACAAATTAATTACATCGATCACTTTCTGGATCATTGATTCAAACCTTGGGTCTCCCAGGCAAACCTGAATTTGAACTTACAGTTTCTTAGGAAATGCAGTTCATTTAAGCTTTATTCTTAAATAAGCTGTTCTGTTTTTTCCTGATTAAAGTATTTCTATAATACATGAAGTCATTTGTTGACAAGATGTACTTTTAGACTTCCTTCAGCTGCAAGCAACAGAAACCCTACATGACTATAGTTGAACTCATCCAAGTTCATCACCCACCAGGAGGGCAGGAAATGGGTAAAGGCTGGGGCTGCCTGCATGGGGTGATGCTCTTGGGAACTGGCTTTCCTTTCCTGGTCTGACACCCTTAGCATGGGCCGTTTTTCCTCATACTCACACCAGAGCTCTGACTCTGCAGTTCACAGGGAAGGACATAGGACTGAGAACAAGAAGCCTCCTTCTGAGACCTTTCCACATACTGCATATGTGGAACTACTTTCTGTGGCTCCAAGAGCCGAGAGGCCTTGCCGTGCTACCTTGCATCTGTACTAGCACAGACTGCTCTGTGGCTACAGCAGATGCCAACTGTCATCCATATAGGTGGCCATGCCTCCATGGGCACAGGATTTTCTGTTGGTATAGATTTGTATGTAAGTCATGAGCAGTGTGTCTGCTCATTAGTTTGCCACTAATATAGTCTTCAGATGTCACTCGAGAACTCTCTATGCACCAGGCATTCACTGGCTGAATGTGCCAGCCCTCAGGAAGCTCTGTTTTCCTTGAAGACAGAAATTTGAGATAAGCATAGGTGAAAACACAGTGGCTGGTGGGAGGGCTCCAGAGACATTCAGGGGACATGGCAGGATGCTGTGCTTGGGTGTCTTTGCAGTGATGGCCACTGAGGAAACTTTCACTCTAAGATGGCATGTGAGCAGACACCAGGACATAGAGGTGTGTTCCCGGTTCTGAGGACCAGTGTGCTGTGCAGAAAGGGCCTTAATCTAGTTAACCACAACCACTGCAAACAGCCCTATGAGTATAGTGGGTTAAAGAAGAGAGAGTGGAGTAGATGGAATAGGAAGCAGGGCGGCTCTTTTTCCTATTCCAGGGTGTTTTCAGGATGTTAATAACTTTTGTTCCTGCTGTAGCTGTACCACACAAAGGAGTCCAGCCATGGCAGCGTGGTCTGACTCGCCTTGTGCTGGGGCTTATGGCTGCTGTGCTGAGGTCAGTGAAAAGTAGGTCATCACAGTATCCCAGGGCTGTGCTGATGGCCGTGGACGATAAAAGTCAAGTCAGATCGTGGTTATATTTCAAAGGGACAGACAATACAGTATGGTAATGAGTCAAATGTAGGGTATCAGAGAAAGGTAAGAGTCAAAGATATGACATGGTTTTGGCAACTGGAAGGAGGACATCACTGTCAATCAAGACAAGTAGGAGTTGTAGGTAGAGCAGCTGTACAGAGGAATGTGAAAGTGCAGGAGTCGGATAGACTATAGAACGAGTTCTCCCAGAGTTCAGGGAGAAGTCCAGGCTACAACAGTGAGTGTGGGAATTATGTGGACAGCCATGAGAATGAATGAGACCCCAATAGAATAGAACTGTTGGCCCATGGCATCACAGGCATTTGTAGATTGGGTCAGTCAACTTTCTGTCACTAAAATGTGGAGATAACCAACTTAATAAGAGAAAGGGTTTATTTGACGCAGCATTAGGGATGTAAGTGTGTGATGAGATGGACCCATTGTTTTGGGGCCTGTTTTGAGGGTTCTGGAATGGAATGCTGGGAGCAGGTATTAGAGCAAAATGGTTCATTCCAAGGCCAGGAAGTAAAAGAAAGGAAAAAGTCCAGGATCCCACAGTTCCTTTCAAGGGAACATCCCAATGACATAAATACCTCCCACTAGGCCCCACCTCTTAGAGATTCCATCCCTATGCCAGGCATGGTGGCACACACCTTTAATTCCAATGCTCGGGAGGCAGAGGAAGGTAGCTCCCTGGGTTCAAGGCCAGCCTAGTATGTGTAGCAAACTCTAGGCCAACGAGGGCTACATGGTGAGATTCTGTCTCAAATGAAAAAGATTCTACCTCCTCCCAAACTTGCACACTGAGGACCAAGCCTTGAAAAATGTGCCCTTGGGGTCATATGAGGCCTAAACAAGTGTTTGAGAGGCTAATGAAATCAATTCAAGAAATTGCTCCCTGGTCTGAAGAGATAGCTCAGCAGTTAAAAGCTCATGTTGTTCTTGAAGAGAACCAGAGTTCAAATCCAGCACCCACTGGTGTCCCCATAACTCCATAACTCCAGTTCCAGGGGGTTTGATGCTTTCTTCTGAAATATGCAAGTACCAAATCCAGTGGTACCAGTACATACATGCAGGCCAAACACTGATAAAATATCATTTAAAAAGCAGGTATTCCTAGTTGCAGTGCCTGGCTCCCTTGGTTGAATTTGCCCAGTATGTCACTTGTGTCTCCTTTCAACTTGATGTTTATCCATCCTTTACAGAATGAGGAGAAACCTGTGCAAATGATGTTTAAGAAGTCTACCTTTAAGATGACCTATATTGGAGAGATATTCACCAAGATTCTGATGCTTCCCTATGTCGGCAACGAGTTGAACATGATCATCATGCTTCCAGATGAACACGTTGAACTGAGAACGGTAAGGACCCTGAGACCTCGATGAAGCTGTAGCAAGAAAGAGTAGCATTTGGGTTTCTGCTGGGGCAGCTCTCCCAGGCTCCCAGAATCGTGCATTTGTTTTCCTTTCATTTGTGGGACTGGGGTGGGACCCAGGGCCTGGAGCATGCTTGACAAGTACTCAGCAATGCACTGCTCCCTAGCCCCTCCCCGCTACCATATCACCCCACATCCACACTCCCTGGGCAGTGTAGAGCTTCCCCATCTCGGGAATGAGAGCATTATCCTAAAGTCTTGAACTCTCTTCTAGGTGGAAAAGGAAATAACTTACGAGAAATTCGTAGAGTGGACGAGGCTGGACAAGATGGATGACGAAGAGGTGGAGGTTTTCCTCCCTCGGTTTAAACTGGAGGAGAACTATGACATGAAGGATGTCCTGTGCAAGCTGGGCATGACTGATGCCTTTGAGGACGGCAGGGCAGACTTTTCTGGAATATCTTCCAAGCAAGGCGTGGCTCTCTCCAAGGTCGTGCATAAGTCTTTTGTGGAGGTCAATGAGGAGGGCACAGAGGCTGCGGCTGCTACAGCTGCCATCATGATGCTGAGGTGCGCAAGTTTTGTCCCTCGCTTCTGTGCCGACCGCCCCTTCCTCTTCTTCATTCAGCATGCTAAGACCAACGGGATTCTGTTCTGTGGCCGGTTCTCCTCTCCCTGAGGAAGGGATGCTCCTGTCAGTCTTTTACCCACTCTGGTTTACCTGTGACCTAAGTGACCTTATCCATAAGTGCATTGACAGCATTGAAATAAAGGGCTCACTAACAACCCCCACCTTCAAAGTGAGTGTTTGTCTGCCTCGTGGGAGGGATTTCTGTAGGATATGGATTTGCACCTCTGTGGGTTTGTGGTGTTGCTGGCTACAGAGCTCATTCCTGCTAGAAGACCCTGTGGCTCTAACACAGGCATCCCTGTGTGCTTCTTCTCTTTCCTTGGTAGCATGAGGGTCTCATCCCACTTTAAGTGACAAAAAAAGCCAGTGAGTTGAAGCTCTGAGGAGTGGGTAGGAGGGACATGCCTCAGATAGTCTCTATGTAGAACTGTGTGCCAAAATTTGTGTTACCAGATAGGTGGGATATGCAGTTACTCAGCCTAGTAAGAAAAGATCCTTTTTCCTAGATCTCTCTTTCCACTGTCATATGGGATGACACTTATACCTCTTTAAGAACATACTGTCCACTCTTTCCCAAGGGATGGGAAAATGAGGTCATTAATTTTGACTATAGTTGCATGAATAGATACCAGGTGACTTTCTATTTAGTGACAAGTATTGCAAATAAAAAGGTGATACATTTCTTCAGTCTTGTTTGCTGTGTGCTGGAAATATAATAGAAACATTTAGCAGGAAGGGAAGAAGTTGAAGGGGGCAGGGTCTGTGTGAAAGAGTTCTGTTGGAATTCTAAGGGATGGCAGGAAGGACGTTCCATGATCTCTGCAGTTTGGAAACAGCCAGGATTCCTTCTGACTTCACTGATGCCTCTGTGGTGATGATATTATTGGATAATGTTAAGACTCATGGAACTTAGGAGTTGATGTGGAGAAAGGGAGATGAAGGGTTGCTGCTTTTGATGCTCACCCTTTGTCAGTGTCCTGTTGCTATAACAAAAATACCTGTGACTGGAAAATATGAGCATGATGGAACAGACATGTGATTACAGCACTGGGGAAGTAGGGGTGAAAGGATCAGGTAACAAAGCTATCTGGACTTAGCTGGAGTTTAGTGACACAAACTAAACATACCTAGCAGACATCTACAGAATATTTCATCCAAACACTGAAGAACACACATTTCTCAGCAGCCTGTGGAACGTTCTCCAAAATCTACCACATTAGGACACAAAGAAAGTCTCAAAAAATTAAAAAAAATTGAAACGACATCATCCAGTCTACCTGACCACAGTGCAATAAAGCTGGCTATTCAAAGAAACTATAGAAAGTACACATAGCCACGGACTAAACAGCACAGCTGAATGGCAGCTGGATCAAGGAAGAAATCAATAAGGAAATTAATAATTCCTAGAATCGAATGCAAATGAAAATACAACCTACCCGAATCTATGGGACACAAGAAGGTCTTAAGAGGAAAATGTTCCCTACAGCACTAAGCACCTACATCAGAATTTTGAGAGGCTTTGAGATCCTTGGAAAAACAAGAAAAAATAGCATCCCCAAACAGTGTGGGACGATGTAATCAAATTTAGGGCTTAAGAAATAAAATACAAACAGAATACAAAGAATCAAGGAAGCAGTAGGTTCTTTGAAAAAAATAGGACTGAAAAACTATGAGCCAAATTAACCAAAAAGAAAAAAAATAAAACAGGAGAGAAAAGATCTACATTAATTACATATCCCTACAGTTAGGGACATAAGTAAGACATCACTATGGATAATGAAGAAACTCAGAAAATCATGAGGACATGCTTTTAAAAAATGTGTATTCTAACTTGGAACCCCTGCACAGAAGTAGCCCATGGTAGCTCAGTGTCTAAGAGGATTTCCCCAATAATAGGAACAGGGACTGTCTCTGACATGAACTCATGGGCTGGCTCTTTGATCACCTCCACCTGAAGGGGGAGCAGCCTTACCAGTCCACAAAGGAAGACAAAGAAGCCAGTCCTGGTGAGATCTGATAAGCAAGGGTCAGATGGAAGGGAAGGAGGACCTCCCCTATCACTGGACTGGGGGGGTGCATAGGAGAAGAAGAGGGAGGGAAGGTGGGACTGAGAGAGGATGGGGGAGGGGATACAGCTGGGATACAAAGCGAATAAACTGTAATTAATGAAAATAGAATTAAAATTAAAATAAATAAATAAAAGAGTGCAGTTCTTAAAAAAAAAAAAAAGTGTATACTACCAAACTGGAAAATCTAAAAGAAATAAATGAATTTCTAGACTCATATGACCTACAAAAGTTAACTCAAACTGAGGTAAATAATGTAAATAGACCCATAACAAACAATGGGTAACCGTAACTAAAAATTTCCCAGCTAAAGAGAGTCCAGGTGGATTCTGTGTAGAAATCTACCAGCAATGTATGTGCATCACATTATTCCCCAAAATAAAAAGGAAGGAACATGTCTAACTTCTCCTTACAAAAAGTTATCAGGATACCAAAACTGGGACAAAAAGAAAAAAAGAAGAGAAAAAGAATGAATGAAATTATAGGGCAACTTCCTTTATGAACATAGACATAAAAAAATAACCTATAAAAAACATGACGAAGATTATCCATCATGATCAGTTAGCTTTATACCAGAGATGCAGAGATGGTTCAACATAACGTAAAGCAATAGACATAATCTACCACATAAATACACTAAATTAAAGAAACCACATAACCATCTCATTAGATGTAGCAAAGGCCAACATCAGCAATACCCAACATCCTCCCTTCATGACACAAGTTACAAAGAATCTAGGGATATGAGAGACACATCTTAACATAATAAAGACAATATACAACAAGACCAAAGGCAACATTATCTTAAATGAGAAAAACAAAACAAAACAAAAAAAATAAATAAAGCATTTCTAGAATGAGGGACAAAATAAGGATGGCCACTTTCTCTATGTCTGTTCACTATTGTGCTATAAGTCTTCACTAGAGCATAAGTGTGTGAAATAAAGGTGATGCAAATAATAAAGGAAGAAACTTAAGTCTCATTTGAAGATGATATGATTCTATGTATAAAAGATCTTAAAAGATGCCAGAAGAAAACTACAGATAATAAACACTTTCATTAAAGTAGCAGGATACAAAATTAACATATAAACATTGCTTTTATATACAAACATGCCAAGAAGGAAATCAGGGAAACAACAGCATTTACAATAGCCTTAAAGTTTTTAATGCCCCCCCCCAAATAACCTCTTTCAGCAAAAGATACATTAATTCAAGTGAAGAAGCAGCCTGCAGAATAGAAAAAACAATCTTTACTAGTTGTTCATCTATCAGAGGGTTGTATCTAGAATATATGAAGAACTATACAAAAAAAAAAAAAAAAAAAAAAAAGACAACCCTCCCCTAAATACTAAGAAAACAAATAACTCAATTAAGAATTGAGAAATGGACCTAGCAGTTTTCAGGAGAATGTAAAAGGCTTAAAAAATTTTTTTTTAAGTGTCCAGCATTCTTTGCTATCAGCAAAGGTCAAATTAAACTGCTTTGAGATTTCATCCTCCCAGTCAGAATGGCTAGGAACGAAAAACCAAAACCAAAACTCAAAACAAATGACAGCAAATGCTGATGTAGGCGTGGGAAAGAGGAACTCTAACTCACTGTTGATGGGGGTGCACACTGGTACAGGAAGTCTGAAAATCAGCTTGGAGGTTCCTCAAAAAGCTAGGAATCTACCACGTGATCTAACAATGCCACTCTTGGGCATATGCCCCCAAATTGAATCTTACTACATAGATACTTTCTCATCTATACTCTCACTGTTACTCCAGTCACAATTGCCAGGAAATGTAAATAGCTTAGATTTCCAACGAATGAATGGATAATAAAAAAATGCGGTACATTTTTCACAATGGAATATTATTCAGCAATTAATAATAATGAAATGAAGAAATGTACAGGCAAATGGATAGAGAAGGGAATAATCATATGGAGTCAGATAACCTAAATTCAGAAAAACAAACATTGTATGTTCTGTCTTAAATGCGGATGCTGAATTTGAATCTTTGTGCTGGATTTGTTTTGTTTTTCGTTCTTGAGACAGGTTTCCCCTGGGAAGACATGGGTGTCCAGGAACTCACTCTGTAGAGCAGGCTGGTCTGGAACTCACAGAGATCTCTGCCTCCCAAGTGCTAGGATCAAAGGCGTGTGCCACTACTGCCCATCAAATCTTTAGACGTGTGTATTTAAATTGAAGTACTCATGGGAATCAGGAAAGTGGTAATGGACCATGGGTGTCCATTAAGGTAGGGGAAATGGTGTGAAATGAAAATGGGAAGTAATGGCACAGAAAGGATTGGGCGTTGTGGAGGATGGGAGGATAGGATAGAGCACGGAGTGTGGGGAAGAGTAGCTAATACTAAAGACTCCCACCCCTAGCTAAAGGCCTTTCGGCAACAAACAATAATGGCTACCAGATAATGTGTTCCAAGACATTCTTCCTTGGCAGGTTTTGGTAACTGTTTCTCCCTACTTAACGTCTGCCTTCTTTGTATCTTAGCTGCATCAGATTCTAGGATAAATGCCCAGATCAGTGGTTCTCAACCTTCCTAATGCTGCAATATCTGTGTTTTCCAGGGGTCTTAAGAGACCTCGGTGAAAGGGTCGCTTAACCCCCCAATTAGGTTAAAACCCACAGGTTGAGAAATGCCAGCCTAGATGTAGTGGGACATGAGCTGGATAATAAGCTGAGGTTTTCAAACAAAAGCCGTGTGTGCTGGGATTCAGTGAGCTGCACCAGTGTGGTTAGAACTTCAGGATATTCTCTAAATGTGGAGAGTCAAAACCTAAGGGGTTCAAAGCCAAATTATATTTGGTTGTTTAGTCCCTTTTAACGGCCCTTTTTAACTTTCCTCTGTATACAACTTCCTTGTGACAGAAAATGGAACTGTTTAATTAGCTAAACTTCAATGTGACCTGTAGCAACCCTGTTAAAACCTCTCTTTACTGTGCCTCCCCAACAATGTCCTTTAAAATCAAAACTTCAAATCTCACTGTCATTTCCTTTGCTGATATCTGTTCCGTCATCAACTCTTCAATTTACCCTCCATCTCCTTTCCTTAATCACTTTCAACTAGAATGAGTTTGAAGCTCTTCAT